TTTTAAAAAATAAACAAAACACAAACAAAAATAAACAAAAGATCATCTATTTTGATGTGGCTGCCGACAAGGTATCGACAGCTTTCGTTCTTCAAAAGAAGAAAAATACTTCATAATATAATCGAATTAGAGGAAAACCAAACTGTTTTGCAAATAAAACGTTTTAGCATAGGAAAACGATATGGCTCCAAAGACCTCCGCAGTCAACGTGTTAACCTGCTCACAAACCATTCTGTAGTGCGAAATCATCGCTTTCGATTTTGCTTAAAAGCAAACCTCGATTTTATTTCATTTACCAATTCGGTTAGTTCCTGCATTTCTCTGGTGCGCAATTTTTCCAGTAGTTTTTCTACTGGAAACAACTCCTCACACGTCGCTTATCATATTCACATATTCTCTTTATTCACTTTGATTTTAATAAGATTTAGTAAGATTTTTCCTATTGCATAATTATTAACTTCCCGAAGGAGAAGTTTATGTTTTCATCAAAAAATCCGATCCGCTAATTTTATGTTTTCTCGACGTTTCAAGCCATTCTGAATCGAATGAGACCAAATTTGGAAAAGTATGTATGTGTGTGTGTGCGTGTGCATCAACAGATTTTTTGCCGTAAATCGCCGTTTTCTCAAAAACGGCTAGACCGATTTCAAAAATTTAAAAGCCATTCGATGTATCTCGATGAGGACTATTGTGTGTCAGTGCGACGATCGGCCAAGCCGTTTCTTCGTAAATAGCAGAAAAGTGAAAAACTTTTCTTCCACGTTTTAGCTCGCAATTCTGAACCGATTATGAAAATTCAAAAATCGTTCGAAAGATATTGGTTGGGAGTCGACCTGATTAGTTTTGGTAGAGATCGGCCTGGCCGTTTTCTTGTAATAAGGTGTTAAAAAATTTTTTTCGTCGATTTTTATTATTATTTTTTTGATGGTAGATACCATAGTCTTCTAGATCATACTAAAACTCGTTTAGCTTTAAAAATTCGTCAAAGTTTGCAAAAATTAGTATTGTCTTTTTGGCATTTGTCAAAATTAAAACTTTCATCGACGTTTGCTCAAAAACGCCTGAACCGATTTCAGAAATTTAAAAACCATTTGATGTATCTCGATGAGGATTATCGTTTCTCAGTTTTGTGCGACGATCGACCGAGCCGTTTTCTTGTAATTTGGAAAAAAATGTTAAACTTTTCGTCCACATTTAAGCTTATACTACCGAATCGATTTTAAAAAATCAATAATTGTTCGAAAGATATTAGTTGGGAATGATACTAATTAGTTTTAGGTGAAAATCTACCGAGCCGTTTTCTTGTAATTAACTGTTGATAAAAAAATTTAAGCCGATTTTCGTAGAACTTTTTTTGGCGATATATATCATGGTCTTACAGAACTTACTGAAATATTACAGCCTTACAACAAGTAGTTTAATTTTAAAAATACATCAAAGTTTGAGAAAATGAGTAGTTCTTGTGACATTTGTTAAAATTAAAATTAGATGATTTACTTGGTATAACGATAGAGTACTTGGTCTTAATGAACATACTAAACAATTAAAGTCCTACAAAAAACTGGCTCAATTATAAAAATTATTGATTTTTGAAAATTTGCTTTTAAAAAATACTCCGACCGGGTTGACGTGTTCGATTTTCAATAATGTGTAATAAATCCACTTCGAATACTTTTAACTACTCATAAATTAATTTACCTATCATAGATTAAGTCGATTATTTACACAAATCGGGAATTCATGTAACTTGCCTCAAGGCAAAATACCAATACCAACTAGTTTAATATGGTATTCATCGCCTTTTTGCTCCAACAATCTGAATTTTTTTGTGATCAATCATTACTCTTTTGCCACTGTTCTTTTAATTTTTTAGGTTTCTAATAAGATGAAAATCTGTTTCTTTCAAGTCGCCACCGTCTGAACCGCTTGTATTAAGATATCAAAGCCAAAGCTCTTTCTAGGCATTTAAATCTGCGTTTATGTCGATTGCAAATTGGACCAGATTTGACTTTGACTTATTCTGGTTCTTCATGCTACTTATACAAAGGGAAAAGAAATCTAAGTAGTACTTTTTGTTTTCTTTCTTTTTATTTAAATAATTTTTATATTTCCGTTTGAATTTGTTTTGTTTCAGAATTTTATAATTGTATATCAAAATTAAAGTGTGATTTCGTAGGTTTATTCTATCGATTAATCGATCCGGTCAATTTTTCGCGTGTTTATTCATGAACGAAAACAGACACATCGTTAGTTAAGTCAGATAGAATAAATTAGAAATTAGAATGCTGTAAGGTAGTAAGCTCAAGTGCAGACCTAGAAAAAAACTAGAAATACAGATTGATTAAAAAAAAGATAAATAGCTAAATTAAAGGTAGGCTATATAAAATTATTGAGAATTGCCACCTTGAAGTAAAAAAGATGAAAATAGAAACGCGCAGCTGTTTGTTTCCGCCGCTGTGAAAATTTGTTTGTTTGTAAAACATTTAAAACAAGTCGGTATTAATTTATATATGATAGTGTTAATTATATTATCAATTAGAAATTGTGCATATGTACAATATAAAAATATATTTTTCAAATATAAATTAAAAATAATCACTTAATTTGTCTTAGTGCTTAACATCTTATTTATTAGATAAACATTTGTAACTTTGAATCACACTTAAAATGAAGAAATTTCGTTTTCTTGATTTGTAATTTCAGGATTGACTGGAGGTGTCAGCATTACTGAATACTGCAGTTTCTTATTTCTCAGCACTGAGTACGAATTATCAAATATGACTGTATCTAAAATGATAAATATTAATATGAATATACATGTATATATATATATATATATATATATATATTATAATATAGTAGTACATATAATATTATAGTACAAATATACAAATGGGTTATTGATTGATTTTTTTTAAATAAACTAAGCAGACAAATCCCGCCTAAAACTCGAAAAGTGGATAAATTTTAATTAAGCCCCAAAAATTAAAGACATTTTTATTCTTTTTTCATATTTAACTTACATGTATTATCAGGTTCCGTTTCAATAAAGCCAATTTCGTCAAAATGGTTAGCACCAACTCTTGCTGTAGGTATCACAACATTTTTGGATCCATCTTTATTTTTCTTTTCAACTCCAAAGGCAATATCATGACCTTCAGTTTTAAAGTCCCATCTAAAGATATATTAAAAATTAGTAATATCTTTATGCCATTTTAAAACAATAGTTTTTTGACAATAAATCTGGATGTCAGGTATCCTAGATATTTTTTATAAATATTTGTGCATCCAGAAGAATTTCAATTGTCGAGAAATGTTATTGCAATAGGAGGCGTTCACTAATCACGTGAGCGAGTTTTTAAGGATTTTCGGACCCTCCCCCCCCCTCGGTGATACATGGTGATATTCAAAATTACCTCCCCTCCCCCACCAAAGATCACGTGTATTTTTAGTTACGTTAAAAAACTGTAAAATTTTAGAATTTTTTTTGAAAATGTTTGATTTAAAAAAAAATAGTTAAAAAATAAGTACACGTGATATCTTATTATACCCCTCCTCTCCCGCGTAATATTTTGTGATTTTTTGTCAAACCCCCCCTCCCCCTAAAAACCTCGCGTGATAATCGACGCCCCCAATATGTTATCATATGTATCTGCACTCAATATAAGCAATATAATTGATGAAAGAAAAATATGATACTGCATAAGATGACAGATTATAAAACTCTAATTCATATAATTCTCACTTCAAGAAACATCCAGATTCACTACAATGAAAATCTATAGTAAATTTATCCCCTCTATTGATTGTGACTTCCTGGTAATCCTCCTGTGGTCCATCTACATTTTCTAGATAATATTCTTTGTCAACTTTTCCGCCTTGTCTTATCTGAATAAATAAAATTGAAGTATTCAGTGATTTTATCAAATTGAAATAAATTTACATTACATTATACAAATATTTCCTAAAGTATTCACACAGTACACAGTACATAGTTTATTTAGAGAGCAAAAATATTAAAATCTGAAGATGCAATAGTTTTTGACCGGAAACTAGGTTCCATGCTAATCTATGCCAAACTGTAAATTTTTCAACAGAGTTTTTGAAATCTCACCCGATTCGCCAAACATGCAACAAAATAATTGAAAAATGATTGTTCGGCTTGTAATTCTTGCTTCGTAACTTATAAATTAATGAAAAATATGTTAATAATATATAAAAACCTTGAATAATCAATCAAATATGCCAATTCAATTTATATGGAATCAGTTCCAGATTAGGCTGGGACTTGCAGTGACTATTAAATGTCCCAGAAATATTTATATGAGGCATGCGTCGCAGTGGGTGAACCGTCAATTTAAAATGTGTTAGCTGCCTATTTCACTTATATGCTACACACTTCTACATTTATAATCAGCTAGTTATTTTTTATACTAATTTTTTTCTAGAAATATTTTTGATGGCTAAACAACGTTTGCCGGGTTACCTAGTCTAATATAAAAATATCAGTACGCGTATGCGTTGGCGAAATCATGGTTTGAGAGACCCTTGTTTTTCCTAGTTTCGAAAACTGTTAAATTAGTTTGCCGAATTATAGTTAATATAGTGTATTACATTTATTGCTAATAAAATGACAAAAAAATTATATAAATTTTAAATAATTAGAAGCCTTGTGAAGCCACTGAAAAATATGGTAAAATGTTACATTAATTTTAACAAAATTAATGAAAAAACAAATTATTGAATTAACGCATCATATAAAAATAATTATATTTATTTTATTATTTACGAAAGATGTATTGAACATGCGTTTTACCCTGCTTGGACATCTGGGATCACCATCTGGATCAACCTGCTCTCCACCATAGTGTTTTGGTAACTGCGAAGCAGGAACTTGTTTCAAGATAGCCTTTTGCCATTTATTGCGATTAGTATCCATTATTTGAATTTTGCTAATAGTTATTTCATTCATAAAGCCTTTGACCACATTGAATGCTAAACTAAATACCTTTGGTGCTACAATGCAAGGTGACATTAATTTAGATACATGTTGCCAAAATATTTTTATAAAGTATTTATAACACAACATACCATTAATAATATAACATATTTTTAGGATTTCAGGATAGTTAGCTTCATACATTTTTATTAAAGTTATCACAGCTTCCGCAGCTGTAAATAGAAATCAAAATAAATAAATATATAAAATAAATATTAATTCTGAAACTTATAGATTTCAATTTTACACCTATTTAAAGCTCATTTTTATGTACAGGTAATATTATACGTCTTATCCTATATTTTTATTCAAAAGCCGTATGATTCGAATTGATTGAGAACTAATTGAACAAAAGATTTGATTTTTGCACTAAATCATTTCAGTTCCTAAAACTCTCTAAACTATTTTACTGTAATAGATCAAATTCAATTCATCGTCATTGCCAATAAGAACTAGTTTCATTTTTTAGAGGTTTGGTAATAATCACTTATTTTATAATAATACAAATAATCAATACCTTATCATGTTAACATATATATCTTACAGTTGCAGTTCATATATTTTATCTAGTAACTATTTGCAACTCATTGTCAGAACAAAAGTAGTAAATATGATAATGGACGAGGCATGATAACCAAAACAATAAAGCATTTTAAACTGTGAAGAAATAAATTTTTTCACCTTGACATTTGATAGCTAGTAATAAATCAGTTATAAAATAAATTGTATTGAACGATAAATAGAAACTGAAGTGAATCCATATTTCTCTTATATATTATTTTCTCACCAGGCCTCCATAAAAATGGTTTTATGCTAAACCCTTCCATATCGATGATTCCAATAACCTGACTTGCAGCTTCTCCATGTAATTTTCTCTGTTGTTTTGCAATCTCTAAGTAATTTTCTAAATACAGAATAACTGTTCTGAAGAAATCATTTTTATTAGCCGAATGCAGAAGTCCAGTTATGTCCAATCCAATGAATGGAAGAATTATAACTAAAATTATTTTAAATCATGTTAACATATAACTTACAGTTGCAGTTCATATATTTTATCTCGTAACTATTTGCAACTCATGCAGTAGCAGTAAATATGATAATAGTCGAGGCATAAATCAAACTACAAGTGTATTGTTAATTTATAATAAACTAATATCTATAAACTATAGATTTTGTTTTAACAATGCATATGTCAGCGAATAACAATTTGGACATAAATCCTTTAATTTGTATAATGCAAATAACGATGAGAAAAATAAATGAGTAAGAGATGTTGTAAAACACATTAATTTTTAAACATTGCATAGCATTTACCCAGTTAACTGCCATTGACGAATATGCTCGTCATGAAGTGGCAAAATTTTGTGTATTGACGAGTATACTAGTCATGTCTATAAAACTTTGATCATTGGTTATTGCAATTTTTGAAAAAAAGTAAGCAAAATTTTTTTAAGGATATTTAGTATATTTTGAAGCTATGATTTTTATGACCAAGGAATTTTACATCGATTTTGATGACACAAAAATGTGCACGTAGTTCAATGAGACCGCCACAATTAACTGGTTACTACATAATAATTTTCCGTAATTTATATTTAAATATATACTCGTGAATAATACATTAACAATAATTAAATATTTTGAAATTAATGTGAAACAAATTACAATGAAATGTTTACATACAAGCAAAGCTTTAAGACTTGTGAAAGTCATAACGATAACGTGTTCCATAGCTGTACATGATTTTTATTATTTAAAAAGTAATAATAATAAATAGCAAATAAAAGAATAATATAATCGTTTGCACATATATATTATTATTATTTCAAACAGTTAATTACCGGGAGCTCCGTCCTTATCATATCCGGAAAGTCCACTTGGAAAATATTTTACTAGAACCTCAGGTGCTTTCCAGTCTTTGAGTGTGTCTACTTTCCAAAATACCCGCCAACTCATTGACTGAAAATTAAATTTGGTTTTATAATAAAAATGATTTTTATATAAGATGTGTTATTATTTATCTATTTAACTTACATCACGCAGCATTTTCTCGGCGGCATCCGAGTTCCAATTCCTTGCTAAAATTACAACAGTTTACTCATATATATATATATATATATATATATATATATATATATTCATATATATACATATAGATGTGTGTGTATATATATACAGTAGAATCTCGACTATCCGACACTTCGATACTCCGACACCTCCCATAATCTAACATCATCAGCGATCGAAGCGCTGGACAATTTTGTGGAAATTAATTGAAAATTTTTCCGCTATATAAAACTTTTTCGCTATATTCCAGTAATTTGAACAATCCACTAATCCGACAGCATCTGCTTTTCAATAGTGTCGGATTAGCCAAATTCTATTGTATATGTATAAATACATATATATTTTCCAAATATTTTAAATAATAGAACATTTCAACTTTCTTGTGCATATCATCGATCGACAACAATATTTTATCATCAAATCAAAAAAAACTATTAATTAATAATGAATCATTAAATTTTTTTTTGCTTTTCACGTTTTGTCTGATTTGAATAAATAATATAATGTCTTTACTAACCTTTAAGCCATCGCATCAAAAAATAATCGTCATGATCTTCTTTATTAATAATATCAGATACTTTCCGTCGAAACTGAAACAAAAATATTCAGGATTATTATGATAATTCTATATTATAACATGTTTTAAAATATAAAAAAATACATTTTTCAAATATAATTTTGTGTAGTTCAAGTCGTACTACTCGAATAAATGTGGTTATGTAGTATAAAAACAAACGTCCCGTAGCCATATAACTTTTTGAAGAGAAATAATACCATAGCAAATAATAATATAATATAAAAAATACTTGAAAATATGATTTCTTGGTTAAATATGATTGGAACGTTTATTGACTAGCAAATATACGTTCATTCAAATCAGAAGTCTGTTGTTAGTGCAGAATATATTGATCAAACAGTTTTTATTTGGTCATAGTTAATGAAGTGAAAACCAAATATAAATTATTTTCAAGTAATTTATAATAGATTACATGTGTAAAAATGGTAAACAGTCACGAGAGTCCAGGTATAATATTCCTAAATTTTATAAACTATTAGTTAAAACTAAATTAGACAAATGACCTAAATAGAAATCGAACTTTTCACTTATATATATTAGCAGCACCAAATAATATTTTAAAATATTATGTATTTATATTAGTGAATATGATACAAATTATAACTATACATATATCTACTACATTCAGTTATCACTTAATTTATTAACTTCCCGTAGGGTAAGTTATAGTAATCGCAAAAAAATCGAAAATGAAAATTTTTATATATCTTTACGTTTCAGAGGTTTCTGAACATTTTGGCATACCTTAGAAAAAATGGATGTATGTGTGTGTGTGTGTGTGTGTGTGTGTATGTATGTATGTATGTATGTATGTATGTATTATGTATGTATGTATGTATGTATGTATGTATGTATGTACGTGTGTGTATGTATGTGCGGATACAAATTTTCGTCGACGATTTCGGGAACACGGATCAACCGATTTGAATAATTCAAAAAACAATCGATTCGTATTGATAAGGAGACGTGCTGATTAGTTTTTGGCAAAGGCAAGTCTAGCCGTTCCGAAGATACGGGGCAAAAAGTGCCAAAAACATTACCTCCGTTTTTAAGAGAACGGAGCGTCCGATTTGAATAATTCAAAAAACATTTTACTTGTATTGACAAGATGAAGAATTAATCAAATTTTCATGAAGGCAGGTCTAGCGGTTTCGGAGATCTAATGAAAAAAGTAAAAAAAAAATGCCATTCGGCGGTTAAAAATGATCATTAGACATAAGCACATCAAATTGTCAGATATTTTATAGAGATTTTAACAATAAGTATAATTTTTTTTTACATTTCTGTGGGTTCCGTACCAATGCTTATGCGTTAGACGGCGGCGCGGCACCTGCGAGCTTTGAAATTTCGTCTCTATGCAGTTCAAGCAGTGCGATTGCTTTGAAAAAAAGTTCAGAATTTTCAAAATATATCAAAATGAAGAGAACATTTTTTTCAAAAAAATTTTTTGTTTTCAAAAAAAAATTTTTTTCTCAAAAAAAAATTTTTTTTTCGAATAAAAAATTTTTTTTTTTCAAAAAAAAGTATTTTTTTGTCAAATTTATAGTTTCTCAAAAATCTATTTTTTTCGAAGTAAATTTTTTTCAAAAATGTTAATCGTTTTTAAAAAAATAATAATTTTTGGTACGGGAAGTTCCAGCAATTTGCCTTAAGGCACGATGCCCCAATTGCCTTAAGACAGAATTCCACTTACAGCTAGTTTCATCGAGGCTTTATTACAGCAATTTCGATAAAATAAAAATAAAGACTTTGATGACTTAAAAAAATATCTATAATTTACAAGTCACCAAACTGTGAAAATTATTTCAACTGAATGTGTTTTCTGAACATTCTTGTGTTTTATTTGCAAAATTCTGCGAAATAGTTCTGTTATTTAATTATCAAAATAATTAGAAAAAATGGTACAAAGGTCCAATTTGATCTTGAGCACAAAGAACACATGTCAAATAAACTGTCTGACTATGTTCAGTAAAACTCCCAGCTAATTTATCATTGTAAATATGCGTGTTTTTGCTGTTTAAAAAAATGTAACAATGGTTTTTTTCATTTGATAGGTGGTTTTTCTCCCGATAGCGACGTCGTAATAATCAAGGTGATTATTACATCTTTTACCCCCTACTTTCAAATACTGTTGTTAAAAAATTCTTAACTTATTTGATTTAAGATATTGGTGGTCGGCCTTTTTATTCGCGGACCTTTAAGCCCCGTTCTACGCTTCGTTAAAGTTTGCTTTAATAATAAAAAAGAAATATAATGACAAATGTACCAGCAAAATATATACTTTATTATCTATTCACTTATAATAAACTGTCATACTTTAAATAATTAAACAAAACAATAACTATTAATAATCGAAAATTTAAAATTAAATGGTATGCATACCTACTGTCAATTTTTTTAAAATTTATATACAACTAATATTTTGAATATTAATTTGAGTTTGTAAAAAAATGGCAACTGAAGAATTCAAAGTTATAGATGGTGAGCGATATGATTCATCAATATGGTTATAAAAAATAAGTTTCATTATTCTTTCCACGGTGCATTACATCGCTTTTTCTTAAATTAAACCAAAATACATTTAGTAACTTGTACAGATTATTTATATCTCTACCTCATTCACGGTATTATTAAATACATCACTATGTTTGAAAATACGAATTTAATTTATTCATAATAGTAGTGATTTATTTTAATATAGTCCAATAGTATTTACTAAATTTATAATCAAAACATTGATTCCTTAAATTAATTTAAGATAAGCAAATAATAGGATAATGTTTTTTTAAATCTTTCATACTCCTGCCGGCTTGTCCAAATAATTAAAGAGGTAAACTTAATAAAATAAGTAATACTCTTAAAACATTTTTTATTACTTCTAACTTCAACAATTAGATTATAACATCACAATCTGTAAGTATTGAAAATCAAAACAAAGGAAAAAAAAGAAAATAAATAGATAAATAGAGTAAGGCGAAGCACAAAGGTCCAATTTGACTTTGGGCAATTATATTGTGAAAATCAAACCAACTATATCACAACAAATAACATATATCAAACGAACAACTATCTGACTGTGTTAAGAAAACATAAGCGACGTGAAATGGGACAGCCAGGTACCAAACAGATCCAATGTCTTATTTTAAAAAGATTTTGCAAAAGAAATAATCATCAGCATATTTGGAATAACTATTTATTAAACTTATCTCTTGTAAAATTGCTTTTGCTAACTTAATTTACTTTTTGTTTTGCTAGTTTTTATAGTTTACACCTTTGTCAGAGTAGGGATCAGTTGGCCCTTCTACCCCACCCAAATTCAAACTTTTATGAAGATTATATAAAAAAACTATTGAATTTACCTTAAAAAGACAATACATCTTACAAAACAATTAAATAACATAACTATAAGTTATATTAAGGTCTTGTAAACTAAACAACAGTGCTCAAAACAAAAACTAACACAAAAAATACTTTTGTCATAAGAAACATGGTGATGGCTGGTTATACATCTTTTTCTTCTGCTTTAAAATATGGTTGTTAAAAGATATATAACATTGCATATTTTTGAGATATCTGTGGTGGACCTTTTTACCCGCAGACCTTTAAGCCGCTCTATTCTACTAGTGATAAATATGATAAAATAATAATAATAATAATCATATAAAAAATATTTTAACTTGTGTGCATCAATTTTTCGTATAGTACAGAAAAATTCATTGGACAGATGACTGTTAATATAAGACTATTAATTTATTATCGTTATTATCATTTAATTATTATATTGTATCTAATTTATCAGCTATAATTGTCATGTTTTTCAGGTCTACAAACAGTCTACATTTTCGAAGACGAAGATAGCGACAGGCCATTATCGGAACCTCCGTCCTCATCCGACGACGAAGATGATTTACTACAAGTAACAATGATTTTTTTTTCAAATATTTAATAATTATTATGAAGAAAATAAATGACCGATTGACAATATTTATTCAGAGACTAAGAAGTTATTGTGTCATTTGAGACACAATACCAACACGTATTGTTACATAACAATTTGTAGAAATAGATTGGTAATTATATCAATAAAATGGATTTCCGAATTTGATGTTTTTTTAAATACATTGAATGATTTATTCAGCTAAAATAATAATTATTCAATTAATCTTTTAATATTAATCTTTGAATATCAATCAATATCAAAAGGTTATGTAAATATATGAACTGTACAAACAGTTTTAATATCATTTTCACAAATTTATCCAAAAATCATAAAACAAGTAGATATTATATACATAATATTTTAACTAGCCCTGCAATATATTAACATACATATATTATATTGTGATTAATTTAACTTCTAATGTTCTTAGAAGCTTCTCCACAATCCTTTGTATGTACATACAATATAACATCGAGTTACTCATATATTTATTATTTATCAAGGTTAAAAAAACTGGGGACATCCCACCAGAGTACTGGCATATACAAAAATTGTTGAAATTTGTAAGAGCTGGAAATCCTACAGCCACTGTTGTCGCCCTGAGTTGTATACTGGACTACAATTTAGGATCTGATATGTGCCAATTAGCAGTAACGGTGAGAATAATAAAGAATGAAAATGCCATCACTTAATCAAATCTAAGTAACTAATCAAATGTTAAACAATAAAAAGATAATCCATCAGTTAATCCATTTTTGAAATGTCGGTGCAAAATTGTATCCGAGCGGATTCATTAACGCTACACATATGCTTGCAGAAATTAAGATTTTAATCGATCTTGATTGACACATTTGTAAAATATTACAAAACACGCTCAGTTACAATACATATGGTTTTGTTAACAAGTTTCTCTACCCGATTCATTTCAAGAGTTCTTTTTAGGACGCAGGAGGTTTAGAAGTTTTGCTCAATATTTTAGAGACAACAGATGTCCAATCTCAATTAGGAAGCTTGTCAATTCTTTCTAAAATATCAGACAATGTCCATATTAAGCGAACATTAACTGATCTGGG